ACGTGCGCTCACCAGACAGACAGAGACAGAGAAACAGCGAGAAATCACCCCCCAGGGGGGATGGCCACGCTGCAATCCCTTCTTCTCCATTCTCCTCTCAGGATCTTGGGCACGCACGCACACGTGCCCGGCGTGAGGTTAAGCCACCGCATCCGGGACTCGAACTGTGGTCGACTACATGGGAGTCCAGCGACATAGCCATTACACTAACTGCTGGTCCCCTTTTTTTCTTTTAAGAATTAGTTTATTTAATTTTATTCATCATTTACTTTTTTATTTATTTTAATTTGACTGGAGAGGAACAGAGAATGTGAGAGAGAGAGAGCAAGTCGCCGGATCCAGGACTTGAACCTGGGCTGGTCACATGGCAGTCCAGCGTCCCTAACCACCACGCCACCCGCTGGCCCCAAAGCTATCATTGTTTACTTCTAAGGAATGGAATGAGGACCAGTGCTCAGGTGGGGAGGTAGTCAAAAAGATATTTAACTTTTTATTAATGTTTCTATTTTTTAGAAGAGGACATGTATTTATACTGTAGTTTAAATAAGCCCGTGGGGTTGTTTTGTTTTGTTTTGTTTTGTTTTTAGAGAGAGATTTTTGCTATAGGACATGTATGTTTGCCAGACCAAAAGAGAGAGACAGAAAGCAAGAAATCACCCCCCAGGGGGAAAGGCCACTCCGTAGTCCCTTCTCCGCCATTCTCCTCTCAGGATCTTGGGCACACATGCACATGCGCCTGCTGTGAGTTTTAAGCCACTGGGTTTGGTACTCAAACTGCGTTTGACTACGTGGGAGTCCAGTGATATAACCATTAGGTCATCTGCTGGTCCCTAAGTCAGTTTTTAAAAGCTCTTTAAAGACTAAATAAATGGCACTTTACAGTGGAGAGACCTGGCAAACCACTAGCTTAACCGAGTGAGCAAGATTAACATCGCCAAGAATGAATCATGTTGATATCCTTTCTCTCGATATGCTATGATGAGGACATTCAGCCTCTGTGAAAAGCTTCTTCCCTCAAATCCATACCCCAGTGTAAGTGGGAGGAAAACATCAAATGAAATCAAATTAGGGAATGTCCTGTAGGTCACCTGGTCAGTACTCCCAAAGACTGAGAAACTGTTGCAGACCAGAAGAGACAGGGAGGTGTGGACCAGTAAGTGCAACGTGCTGCCCCGCGTAGGGCACTGGAGCAGGAACCGACATCAATGGAAAATTCATGCAATCCAAATGAGTCTGACTTAGTGAATAGTAACATACCAACACTGGTTCCTTAGGCATGGAAATGTAAGTAATATGAGATGTTAATAACAGGAAAAACTGGATGAGGGGTACAGGGAACTCCTTGTGCTGTTGGCAGCTTTTCTGGAATCTCAAATTATCTACAGGATAAAATGTTGATTAAAAAGCAAAAACAGGAACCAGCAGTTAGCGTAATGGCTATGTCGCTGGACTCCCACGTAGTCGACCGCGGTTCGTGTCCCGGACCCGGTGGCTTAAAACTCACACCGGGCGCGTGTGCGTGCGTGCCCAAGATCCCAAGAGGAGAATGGAGGAGAAGGGATTGTGGCGTGACCATCCCCCTGGGGGGTGATTTCTCGCTTTCTATCTCTATGTCTCTCTCTGTCTGGCTGGCGAGCGCACGCGCCCTACAGTGAAAATCTCTCCAAAAAAAAAAAAGCAAAAACAAACACAAACTCCCTTAAAAAAAAAAGGGTACTGGTGAGCAGCATTCTCTGAGCCTGGGTCAGAAGCCTGATTAGTGATTCCATTCTCTCAGAACTGTCAAAATGGACAGCCCTATGAGGTTTGCTTTCCTTCGTGCAGAAGATCCTTAAGAAAGTTATTTGTCACAGAGTATTGGTTGCCACTCGCCAACTTCAGAATTAGGATGCTAACCACCACCAGGAAGTGTGATGGTTAAGATGCTGGATCCCACAGGGCCCAGCGCACAGTTCAAGTGAGGTCCCTCTCTCCCCCATGAAATTACTCCTCTCCTCCTGGTTTCTTCATTCCATCCCCTCCCCTTCTCCAGGGTCATTTGTTTCCCACATTTCCTCTTCATCTATTCCCTCTCTTATCCTCTGTTCTTTCATCTTAGAGTCTAAAATATTTGGGTATTCCTATTCCTATCTTAAATAAGCAAATAAAACAAAAACTCTTCTCTTAGAATGGTAAATAATGGCAAATTAGAGCATCAAAAATGTTATGCCACTATTATAAAGACAAATATCTGCTAGCTTTGGGTATAAACCTTCACTCACTTCCAAACTTTGTATCTATCTTACGCAGCTCCTAACTGGTCTTCTTGCCAGCAATCTCTTTCCAACTAACACCCTGCCGCCGCATTAATCTTCCTAAAAATACACCTTTGTATATATCATTTTCCTTACAGAAAATGCAAATTCCTTTGCCTGGAAATTATGAACATTCACTCCCCACCCCCACCCACCCCCAATAAAAAACAACCCAACAAATCTCAAATTTCTTTTCCTTTTTTGGGAGAAGTTTTTGCTATAGGGCGCGTGTGCTCCCTGGAAAGACAGAGCCCGAAAGTGAGAAATCACCCCCCTAGGGAGGACAGCCATGCCACAGTCCCTTCTCCTCCATTTTCCTCTAAGGATCTTGAGCACGCACGCACACGTGCCCAGCATGAATTTAAGCCACCAGGTCTGGGACTCGAACCATGGTCGACTACATGGGAGTCCAGTGACATAGCCATTAGGCTAACTGCTGGTCCCCAAACTCAACTTCTATTCACTACATTTCCACATGAATCTTTCACTCAACCAATTGACCTTGAACACATCAAGTGCAGTATCTCCTCTGCATCACTGTTCAAGTTGTCCCTCCTAGAATACACTCCCTGGTTTCCTCTTCACTATTTCCCTAAGCCATGTGCTTCCCTCAGGCTCTGTTGCCCCCAATAAATCCAGCCTTTCAGAGATTACCTTCCCCCGAAATACTCACAATATTTATTAACCACCCAACTCATTGGGTGCTTAGCTCTATGACATGCAGCCTTTGTGTTTAGCAGTTTATGTATCTTGTCCTGGTAGGAACAGCATCTTATACTGTACTTCATTATAGCTCTCTTTTAATTGGCACATTGTCTTCCTTATCATAAAAAATAAACCTGGTAGGCCAGCAGGTGGCATGGTGGTTAAGGTGCTGGACTCCCACATGGCTGACCACTGTCTGAGTTCTGGACCTGAAGGCTTGAAAATCATGCCAGACATGTGTGTGTATGTTCCCAAAATCCTAGAAGAAAGGAGAAGGGATTGTAGTGAGGTCATCCCCCTCAGGGTTGATTTATCACTTTCCTTCTCTCTCTCTGTATCTCTCTGTCTCTCTCTTCAGCAAGCACACATGCCCCATGACAAAAAAAAGCTTAAATAAACAAACAAACAAATCTGGCTAGGTAATAGAGCTTTTGGTGAGGAGAGTTTCAGAACAACCACCAAAGTAAATCCTCAAAGACCATGCACAGGTAGCAAGTTGAATAGAAAGACAGTATTACTTATTTCTTCCTGTTGTACCTGGTAGAGGTTGAGGTTGCCATAAATATTCTCCCAGATATGGTCATAGTTGCACTGATGCAAAGCCTGGGACACCACAAAAGATGGACAATATGGAGTCAGCGTGATCGTCCTTTCAGCATGATCTTGGAGCATTTGTATCACTTTGTCAGGGTTGGAAATCTCAGGAAGATTGGAAAAAAGAAGAAGCAGTTAGGATAAGTATATTCTCTTACTTTCAGCAAGAATCTTGTCACATACACAGGAAGAAACATTGAATACACACATGAAAAATAATCAAGTTTTTATCTTTATCTTACACCATTTACAAATGTTCACTGAAAGTGCATTAAAGACCTAAGTGTAACTTCTAAAACTATAAAACTCTTAGAAGAAAACATAGGGGGAAAGCTTCATGATATTGGATTTGGCAGTGTTTCTTGGATATGACACCAAAAGCCATGACAACAAAAGCAAAAATAGATAAATGAGACTACATCAAACTGAAAACTTTTATGCATCCAGTTAGCAACAATACCAATAGAAGGAAAAGACAATCTATGGAATAAGAAAAATATTTGCAAACCATCTATCTGGTAAGTGATTAAAATACAGAAAAACAATCTCTGTATAAAGAGGTTCTACAACTCGACAACAACAACAACAAATCAAAAAACCTGATTTTTTTTGAGAGAGAGATTTTTTGCTATAGGACACGTGCACTCACCAGAGAGACAGAGATAGAAAGCAAGAAATCACCCCCTTGGGGTGTGTGTGGCCATGGTGTAATCCCTTCTCCTTCATTCTCCCCTTGGGATTTTAGGCACATGCACACATGCACGTGGTGTGAGTTTTAAGCCACCAGGTCCGGGACTTGAACCATGGTTGACTATGTGGAAGTCCAGCAACATAACCATTACACCACTGATGGTCCCTCAAATAACCTGATTTTAAAATGTGCAATTGCAAAAATAAATATAAATAAATAAACCAGCAAAGGACTTGGATAGATACTTCTCTAAGGATGATATGGAAATGGTCAGCAAGCATGTAAAAAGATACCCAGCATCACTAATGATCATAGAGGTGCATATCAAACCCATGATAAGAAATCATCTCAAACCCAGTATGATGACAACAATTAAATAGAAAATAATAAGTATTGGTGAGGATGTGGCAAAATTGGAACTATTGTGCTTGGTTGGAATTGTAAAATGATGCAGCTGTTATGGAAAACAGAGTAGAGGTTCCTCAGAAAAATTAAAAATAAAATTACCATATGATCCAGCAATTCTACTACTGGCTATCCATCCAAAAGAATTAAAAGCATTATCTCAAAGAGATATTTACTGGCCTTTGCACATAGTAGCATTAGTCACAATACCCATGACATGAAAGCAACCCAAATGTCTATCAACAGATGAATAGATAAGCATAATGTGGCCTATACTTAACAGGGACTATTAATCAGTCTTACACAGGAAGGAAATTCTGACACATGCTATAGTATGAATGAACCTTGAGGTTTTTGACAGTCACAAAAAGACAAATTCTGTATGACTATTTATATGAGGCTTTTAAAGTTATCCAATGCTTAGAAAGAGAGAAGTGATTGCCAGGAGGTTGGAGGTAGAAGTAAAGGGGAATTGTTGTTAACTGGTAAAGAGTTTCATCTTGCAATGAAAAAGTTCTGGTGATATATTGCACAGCAAAGTGAGAACATTTAACACTACTGAATTTATACTTAAAAATGATCAAGATGGTAGTGTCTATGTTAAGTATTTTTTGCCACAATATATGGGAAAAAAAAGATCATCTAGTCCAATATTTTTACTTCATAGATAAGGAAGATAGGCTCAAGGAGTTCTATCAAGAGACAATATCACACAGACTTGGAGTTAAAGCTGGACTAAAATTCAACTCTTTTGATGAATTTTACCCTTTACTGAAAGTTAACAAGGCTTTGAAGATTAGCAATTAGATTAGAAAGTTCCAAATAAAGCCTTCAAAGTGAATCCAATCCAACATTTTTTAAAAGAAAAAGAAAATTTAATTTTTTTGGTGAATGGTTTCAATGAGACTCTTATCTTTCTAAGGGAAGATGGTTATTTTCTTACCTTCAAAAACTTTGCTTGGAATTGCATTAATGTATCTATTCTTTTCTGGTCTTTTAGTTTGGTCAAAAGCTTCTTTTGCCAAGGATCACATTTTGGCTTGATCTAGTGGACAAGCATGTTCACATTAAAGTTACAAGTTAACAGAATGACTTCTTAATAAAAGTTGCAAGCCAAAAGATCCAAGGACCTTCTGAAATGGGTCTTGGCCTCAGTGCTAAGTTTGCTAAGGCACGCAACATGTCAGAAAGGAACTGTATTGGTTCACAAATCCATGAAAGAAGACAGAGCAGCAGTTTTTGTTGGTGCCTGGCCTATGACATGCAGTGCTGCATAATCCATGGAAAGGAGAGACCGTAGACTCTTCAGTGTTGAAGACTGTGCCCTTTTACAGGGTGAGAGAAGTTTGTCCACATATTCCCTGTGACTCTACATTTAAATATTTCATCTTTTGGGACAGCCAGTGGTGTGGTGTTTAAGGCAACTGGCTCCCACATGGCTGACTGTGGGTTTTGAGTCCTGGACCTGGCAGCTTGAAAAACAACCCAGGCATGTGAGCATGAGAGTCTGAAATCCCAAGAGGAGAATGGAGGAGAGGGGATGGTGGTGTGGCCAAGCTCCCTAAGGGGGGTGGGGGGGGGAATATTTCCTTACTCCCCCTTCCAATCTCTCCTGTGAGTGCATATTCCCTGTAGCAAATTACAATAATAAATATAATAATAAAACTTTATCTTTCACATTATCAAACTCTATTTTAAAAATTAATTCTATAGCTGTAAATACCATCAATATGGTAATAACTCAAATTTATACCTCAGCCCTATGCATCATCCTATTGCATCCAGCTACATCCTTGCTATCTATCAAGGGGAACAATCTAAAGCAGGAAGTCCAGCCTCTCTTAGACCAACCGCCATGTTTGTCAAGAACCAGACCTAGAAGTAATCTTTACTTCTCTTTTTTATTATTGATATAGTCCAATATTTATGTTTCTCCAAAACTCATACATTGAAATCTCACTCCCAAGGTGATAGTACTAGGAGGCAGAACCTTCGAGGAGTGATTGGAGCAAAAGGGTGGAGCTCTCATGATAGTAGTGCTCTTATAAAAGAGACCTGAGAGAGTTTTTCGGTCCCTTCCACTCTGAGACGACCTACAAAAGTCAATAGTCTGCAACCCAGAAGAAGGCCTTTACCTGACTCAACCATGCTTGCATCCCAATTTTGGACTTTCCAGCCCCCAGAACAGTGAGAAATAAAATCTTGTTGTTTATAAGCTACCCAGTCAATGTTTTTTTTTTTTTTTTTTGGAGAGATTTTCACTATAGGGCATGTGAGCTCACCAGACAGAGAGAGACATAGAGACAGAAAGTGATAAATCACCCCCCAAGGGGGATGGTCATGCCACAATCCCTTCTCCTCCATTCTCCTCTTGGGATCTTGGGCACGCACGCACACGTGCCCGGCATGAGTTTAAGCCACCGGGTCTGGGACTGGCACAGCGGTCGACTACGTGGGAGTCCAGCGACATAGCCATTACGCTAACTGCTGGTTCCCCCATCAACGGTATTTTGATAAAGCAGCCTGGATGAACTAAAATAATCATATAAGACTTTTCTTTCCTTCATAATATAATCGATTCTCACTAAATGTGAATTTCATATTTGAAATTTTGTGTACTCACTTCAATTTTTCTGTGACTCAAAAATCAATACTGACAGAGTTTTCATGGTCATTCATAGACATACGTACAGTAGTGAAAAATTTGAGTCACTCAATGGCGGTGTTCCTGGCTAAGGGTGAACAAGGCAACATTTTGCGTTCTTATTTCTATTCCCATGCTTTAAGCAAGTGTCTTCCTGATCTATATAATGTCACCCCCCATTTGGGGGCTTCTTGTTGGTGATCTCACTGTTGAAAATGGTCCTGAGGTATAATGCTGAAGTTCAGTCCTGTGTTCCTAAGTACAAGAAGACTGTGACATGCTTCTGGAGAAAATATGTGTGTTAGATAAGTTTCATTCAGGTATAAATAATAAATAGTGTCTCAAGTTCAATGGTGATGAATCAATAATGTGATATTAAGTCAAGAGTCTAACTTTGTGTTACCCTCTAGGGGTAACAATCGGGTATTTGCAAAATCAGTGTTCCTGTAACTTTCTAGAGTATAACTGCCATCAACAGCGAGAACTGACTGTACTGAGTGTTACCTGAAATCATCTTATTTAATCCACTTACTTGTGTTTTGTTCATGAATTGTGTATCTCTAGCACCAAGGGCTGTGTCTGACAACAGTATATACCCAACAAATAGTGGTCGACTAAAACGCTGAATTTACACCTGTTACTCCTTTGGGTATTATTCTTTGTTACTACCAATATCTGAGACTATTAACAATGAGAAAAAAGTTTGGCCCAATAGAGCAAGGTACAGGAATCTGGGGAATCTGCAGAGAAGAAACAGCATGGCTAACTTCAGCATAGAGCCAAGGCAAACAAAGAACTGTGAGACCCTGGCACATGAAGGTACACCAGATGGCCTCCCCTGAGGGCAAATGGGTATCTTCCCTGGTCCCAGAAGACAGTTTGCTGAGGGTGTAAGGAAAGGGGCAATAGGGAGACAGGCCTGGTGCTGCCCAGTTGCCTGGCCTTATTGAGGGACACTTTTTGACACTGCTGACAGCATTGGCAGGTGACTCTCACCACAGGCTTCCTTACCTTTATAAAAGAAATCCAGTTGGCTCTCTTTTTAAGAGTCATAGCAGGTCCTGTCATACCCAAATTCTCTGCCTCATAGTCTGGAAATGTTTGCATTCTCTGTTGTTCCATGAAGATGCTTTGAAATTTTTGGGAAACCTAAAGAAGATTAAGAAAAAAGATATGGAGCCTAGAAGGAAACTTCAGATTGTAGGCAATTTCAAAAACAGTTACTGATGGTCTTAAAATAGCTTTGATGTTGGGGCTGGCAGGGGCATGGTGGCTGAAGGTGCTGGACTCCCACATGGTTGACCATGGTTCAGATCCTGGACCTGGTAGCTTGCTTTCTCACCCCCTCCTGGTCCTTCTCTCATCAATTAAAATAATAAAGTAATTAATTAATTAATTCTAATAAAAATAGCTTTGAAGTGAAACTAATTTATAAAGCATGGCACTGTGACAGCAATGGGGACTTAAATATACATACCTGTGTGGCACATGTGCTCAGTCAGGTCATTACCATAATTGTGTAAGCTATTTTGAATGTTTCTCCAAATACTAGAATATATGAACATATATATATGTTTCATACACTCTAAATATAAGTGGTAAGTGAATTGTCATTTTTGAAAGCATGTTTTCTGACCACTTGGCAAACTAGAAACTCTAAGGGTTAAATAAATCCTGCTCTCCAGATGCCTGACTAGCATGTGGCTAGAGAGAAGAGTTCACATACTAGGATCTGTTAAAACTCTTTAAGACACCTTGCCCTACTCCCTTCACATCCCTTTTTCAGACCTAAGTTACTGATGCTTTCTGTGACATAGCTTCCTACTGTAGAACTCTTCTTCCTTCCTCCTCCTATATGTGCCCCAGCCCAATGAACCTGTGGTAACCTCCTCGCCATCACGCTAGCCACTCTGTGCCCTGATTTCCTCACTATATGCTGAATTGCTTGAGGACAGACTATGTAACTCAAGAATTCAACAAGTAGTGGTAGATTCACAACAAAGATAATGTAGTTCTGAGGTGAACATAGTACTGGAAGTCCTACGTGACACAATCAGACAAGTGAATGAAATAAAAGGCATCCAAATTGGAAAGAAAGAAGTTAAATTGTCCCTATGTATTAATGGCAACTTCTTTTTTTTCTTTTTAAAGTTACATATTTTTGGGTGTTGATTTTCTATCTTGCAACCTTACAGAATTCATTTATCATATCTAAGAGTTTTTGGTAGATTCTTTAGGATTTTCTATGTACATAATCATGCAATTCATTCAACGGAGACAATAGAGACAACCCACAGCATGGGAGAAAATATTTGCAAATAATATTTCAAGTAAGGAATTGATAACCAGAATAGATAAGAAACACAAGCAGCTCACATGCAAAAAGAAACCTAATAATCCTATTTTAAAATGATCAAACAAGCTGAATAGACAACCCTTAAAAGAAGACATAGAAATGGCTAAAAAAAAATGTAAAAATATTCATCTCTTACCATAAAGGAAATACGAATCAAAACCACAATGAGTAATCATCCAACCCCAGTCAGAATAGCTGTGATAAAAATAAATAAATAAATAGGCCAGTAACTGGCATGGAGATTAAAGTGACTGGATTTTATATGTCTCACTTCATAGTTTGAGTCCTGAACCCAGAGAGTTGGGGATCATGCTGGGTGTGTGTGCATGCATACTCAAAATTCCACGAGTAGAGAAGAAAGTGGGGGAGGGGATATTGGGGTATTGCCTTCTCTCACAGGAGTGATTTCTCACTTTCTCTTTCTCTTTCTCTCTCTCACTGTCACACAAACACATGCCCTGTAGCAAACTAAAACAAACAAACAAATAATAACAAATGCTGGTGAGGTTGCAGAGAAAAGGGAATCCTGGTGTACTGGCAGTAGGAATGTAAAATAGAACAGCCACTGTGGAAAATATTATGGAGGTTCCTCAAAAATCTGAAACTAGAACTATTGTATGACCCAGTAATCCCACTAGTGGATATTTTCCCAAAGAACAGGAAATCACTTTGTTAAGAGACATTTGCACAGTCATGTTTATTGCAGCATTATTCACAACAGCTAAGACATGGTATCATCTTAAGTACTCAACAACCAATGAATAGATTAAGAAAATGTGACATACATACACAATGGACTACTACTCAACCTTAAAGAAGTATGATATCTTGTCATGACAGAAAGTCAATAAATCTAGAAGATTTAATCCAGCTTTTGGCTGGAACTGCCATCTTCCAGTAATTAACCAAAACGACAAACACAAAGGGAAAGAGGAGAGGCACCCAATATATGTTCTACAGGCCTTTTAGAAAACATGGAGTTGTTCTTTTGGCAACATATATGCAAATCTACAAGAAAAGTGATATTGTAGACATCAAAGGAATGGGTACTGCTCAAAAAGAAATGCCCCACAATGTTACCATGGCAAAACTGGAAGAGTCTACAATGTTACCCAGCATGCTGTTGGCATTGTTGTGAACAAACAAGTTAAGGGCAAGATTCTTGCCAAGAGAATTAATGTGCATATTGAGCATATTAAGCATACTAAGAGCAGAGGTAGCTTCCTAAAACGTGTGAAGGAAAATGACCAGAAAAAGAAAGAAGCCAAAGAGAAAGGTACCTGGGTTCGACTAAAGCGCCAGCCTGTTCCACCCAGAGAAGCACACTTTGTGAGAACCAATGGAAAGGAGCCTGAGTTACTGGGACCTATTTTCTATGAATTCATGGCATGATGGATGTTAAAAATAAACTAATCTATGGTCTATTTAAAAAAAGATTTAATTCAAAGTGAAATAAGCCAGACTATGCAAGACAAACTCTATATCTCCACTTAACATAAACCAAATGTCTGCACTGTGGCAGAAACTGAAAGACTTTATCACATAGAAGTAGAAGCAGTCATACTAGATACCAGAAGCTGCTAAGAGGGTAGGTGGGAGGATTAAGGAGAAAAGATTAACAGACACAAGAATGCATGTAAACAAGTGGAATCGGTTATGGGATAGTGTACCACAGCAAAGAAAAAAACGTCATTGACAATGAATTATATACTTTAAAAAAAAAAGAACTTCCAAATTAGTAGAACTATTACTAAATATGGCACAATGTAATCTAATGTTCAATGTCAAAGAATATGAATGTCTGTTTCCTTGAATTGATTATTACACATTGAATTCATGCATTGAAACCCTACTGTAGCTCATGAAGATGTACAGTGATTAGGTGTAAACCAGAAATCACACAGAAAAACCAACGAAAGAACCTACCAAATGGAGAGTCACATGGCACGACAGTGTGAATGTACTTAATGCCACTGAACTATACACTCAACAGGGATACAACAGTAAGCTTTGTTATGTATGTTTACCACACATGCGTGCACATGAATACATACACACACACAAATTACCATTCTAGGGCACATTGCCATTGGCATGTTCTAGGGCCTTCACATAGATTTCCAGAATGAGTGAGCATATTCATGAGTCACAGAACTGAAGACTCTTCCAGTCATTGCTGTTACTGCTAAGGCAATGCTGTCCAGAACTCTTGCCCCTAGCCACATGTGCATGTGTCTGTTAAATATTTAAGTGTGAATTAATTAAAATTAAATTAAATTTAAAGTTGAGTTCTTCAGTAGCACTAGCCACATAGCAAGTGCTCAATAGCTGTATGGAACCAGTGGTTAACAAATCAAATAGCAGACAGCATAGACACAGAACATCGCCACAGGCAACACTGCAGGAAGTTTATTGAAATGTGCTGGTCTAGGGCTGGGTTGGCAGACTTGTCAGATAGTAAACATTATAGCCTTTGCAGACCACCGGGTCTCTTTTGCAACTACTTAAGTCTGCCGTAGGAAAGTTGTCAAAGACAATACATACTGTAAACAAATGGGCTTAGCTATTGCTAGGATCTAAATATTTGGGTCCCCACAAAATTCATGTGTTGAAATTCTAAACTCCACAGTGGTAGTACTAAATGGTATAAGGAGGTGGAGCCTTTAAAAAGTGACTAGGTCATGAGGACTCCCTTCATAAAGGGGAATAATGCCTCATCAAAGCTCCAGAGAGAACCTTGTCCTTCTACCACGTGAGGACACAGCACATACCGTCTCTGAGCCTGGAAGTGGCCCCTCAGCAGATACCAAGTCTGCCTTGATCTTAGACATCCCAGCAGCCAGAAATGTAAGAAAGAAATTTCTGTTGTTCACAAGCCACCCAGTTTATGGTATTTTGTTATAGCAGCCTGAATAGACTAAGATAGCTGTATGCCAATAAGAGAAAGTTTCCTTTCATAAACCAGTGGTAGGCCACAGGCTGTGGTTGCTGACCCTGCTCTAGGGCATTAGACCACCAGAATAAATAGTACTCACGTATAGGAACTGCTGTGCAGAAGTTGTTGTAATGTGATTGATTATCCAGGGGGGCATAATTAGCATTTCACATAATGCAGTTATAAGAAATTCCAGAGTAGACACTGCTATCACATAAAGGCACAAATTGTTCTTTGGGAACAATGCTGCTTTGTGGGAGCATTCTGCCTGCCTCATGTCCTTTTGTTTATCCTTGATAATAACCTACTGTGCAATCATTTATTTTTTTATTTATTTTGTCTCTTTTTTAACACCATCTTATTTCAGTTCTCGGTTTTACGTTCATGATTATTGGTGGTAATAAGGGGAAGGACAATCTCAAAAAGCACTCTGTGGAAGACAGAGCAGCTGGTGACAAGAAAGGAAGGCAAAAGTTAACAACGTCACCTTCAAAGAAACCAGAGGACATGTGATACCTTTGGTCCCAGTGAATCTAAAGAGCCTGTGTTACTTACGTACAGAAATAATCCTGGTAAAACGATCCTCGAGTAAATACAAATGTAAGTGAAACTTGAAGGTTAAGCAAATGGTGAGAGGAGACAGTGACCATTTTCTTAAAACATAAACAGCATTCAAAATCATTTATTTTTTTCATTTTTGCCTGTTTGGATCTTTCAGTGTATTGTTTTTACCTAGCAAATATATTTTATTTGAAAGACAAATTCAAAAAAAATCTTTATTGTTGAAACTCTTCCTGAAAATCGTTATAAATCTGAAACTCTCTACCCATAGTCCTGTTTTTCCCTTTGTAACAAGTTTTCGCATGCCTTCTGATCATTTGTTCTTTAGGAAATGCGACACTGTATTATAACAGAGAAGACCGTGTGCCTTTAAACATCACTACACTATGTACCCTCGATAGAATATGAAGCATTTTGTCAGTGAGGAGAGCTACTGCGACACACCCTGACAATCAGAGGGCTGGAGATACTTGACCACTCCATTGTGCAAGTCTGGCAAGTCTTGGCTCTATTGACATCATTCACTGTAGACCGTACCCTACTCTTTCCTTTAAATTCTTTTGAAAATTAAATCTTGTAATCCTCTGGGTTCACTATTCACTATCCCATTACTCCCCCCCTACATTTTTTTCTTTTTACAGAGAGGAAGTCCTTTCTAGTGGCTAAGCTATCCTTTTCTTACAAGTTTATCTCTTTTATTCATGACCGAGAGCATGTGTGCACACACTTGAGAGACAGTGGCAGAGAAAGCAAGAGAAAAGCACTCCTAGAGTCTCTTCATGTTGTGGCCCCGTTCCCCAGTCCTCCAGTTCATCAGGACCTTGGGCACCTGCACGTGCACCCAGTGTGTTTCAGGTCTACCAGGAAAGGGATCCAAACCACTTCAGTATGCTTCCAACTACACCACCAAAGCTGGGCCCTAACTGCGAATCTAAATCTCACCTATTAGTAATTTATCTTTTCACTTTAGAAACAATTATTGGCAGTTTAAATACACAGCTTTGTGGCTAATACTAGCGTTTTCTTTCCTGAACACCTGTACTGGTATTAACAAAGAGTATGGGCCGACCCTACAGCATAGGGGTTAAGCACTATGCATATGGAGCTGGATCCCACATGGCTGACCATGGTTTGAAAACTGGCCCTCATTTCTTGAAAAACAAGCCAAGCACATGTGCACATGTACCTGAAATCCCAATGGGATGGAGAAGTGGAGGAAAAAGGACTGCACTAAGACTATACCCCATGGAAGGTCCTGTCTCTGTCCTTTCTTTCTCTCTCTCTCTCTCTCTCGGGTGTTCTCTCTCTTACTCTGTTGGGCTCCCATACCCTCTGGCAACAAAAAAGAAGAAAGAAAGAAAGAAAGAAAGAAAGAAAGAAAGAAAGAAAGAAAGAAAGAGAGA